ACATACAAAATACTTCAGAGCACAAAAATTTCATTCATCCGAATGGATCTGCTCTGTCTCACTCTCCTCGGTTTGGCCCTGGCTCTGCGGCACAGCCCAAATAGACGTTGAATGTTGCATTTCGAATGTGCATCCACGCAATTGCATATCTGCTGAAGTCCTGTGGCACCCACCACCAAGGGGCTGGAGGTGGGTATGTAGTTGGGGACATATGTATTGGTTCTATTTTAAGCATCCCCTCGAGGCAGCAACTGCGAAAATGAAGTGGCGGCAGTTAAACGAACGGGTGTTGCCCCACGCAAATGCACATGCACCAAAACTCATTCCTGTGCCACATTCGGATGGTGCATCAGCAACCATGGAATGCACTGTGGACCCAGGGGGAATCCCACGGTCCATGGATGGAATGGACTGGGATGGGGACCATCTGCCACATGCCCCATATGCGCTGTCATGCTATTTTCGGCAACGTGAGTCTTCCAACGAAGATGCCTGCTGCTGCCGCTTCTGCTGCTCGAGTTGAGCTTCCTCCAGATGAGTGTTCCAGATCGAAATTGAGAATTTGTTTATGGCATGCCACTATCCCCAGTCCCAGTCCCACTCCCTGTCCCCCATTCCCCATTCCCCAAGCCTGTAGCCCTGCTATGGCATTCCCCATAGCCACCCTAACCGCACTTCAAAGATGTCGTACTTCACACATCTCATAGTGTATTTTTATCAAACGTTTTCGAAATACAAAAAGCAGCGGGCGAATGCCCGAACACGGGTGTGACGCCCAATCTTATTGAACAAATATTTTGAGTGCCTTGTCCGGGTAGTGGGGATTAATAATGTAGTACCTTCCCTTTCTAGAGAGGCGCGCCTTCGGGCAGCGTCGTTGAGGATCTCTGTGGAGCATAAAGAAAACAAAAGACGGATTTAGTGCTGGTTTACCCCCTGAGAAAAGAGCAGGGAGCAGGGAGCAGGGGGACCCCGATCTCAAGCTGTTTATATACACAAATTCAATGGAGCCACGGAACAAGGCGGCACGCAGCAGCAGCAGCTCCTCCCCGATGATGGTATGGTATCCTAGACGAAGGTTAATTGATTGGCTGGATTAGAGATCCGAATGATTGCCTCTTTTGCGTGACTCTGGGCTCATTCTGCGGGCGGCAGCCCGGTTTGAGGATCTGTCTGTCTCTCTAGAGATGGCTGATGGCCGACTTTCAAAAGGATGAATAAACAAAAGCGGTACGCAGGAGCGTGAGGGTCATGGGGTGCAGAGTGTGTTTACTTGGGCCACGCCGCACAGGATGTGCGTGTCATCGGACAAGGGGTGCGCCCTTCCCCGAATCGCTGGCCTGCACGTGGTGAACACACCCCGTGACGCATTCCTGCGGCACGCACATAGGTCGGGCGCGCTCATTGTGCCAAGTCCTATTTGGGTCATGTTCTAGTAGAGGCAGCCAGCCAGGGGATGGTTAGCTACTCAATTTAAATTCCACTTTTGCCTCCATGTACCCCGAATATTGAACAGCTCGAGCTTCTAGGTGTTTCGCCACCCAAGCAAAGTCCTCGCCTATATCCCCTATGTTCCTAACACTTCATTAATTTCGAGTGAAATGTGATGTGAAGCATTCGCCACGCCTGCGCATTGCCTTCGTCTTTCAGCTGTGTATCAGCTATCCGGAATGGAAATGGCTTTCGGAACGCGTGCTAATGGGTTTCCCTGACAGACAACGGATCACCACCAGCCAACCGATGTACTCCGAAAGTACACGTTTTGAGGCCACCATACGGCACGTAACGATTTCATGGGCTGCATTCCTTCGCTCCGAGACTCTTGGCTTGAATTTACCTTAGATTAGTTGCGAACAAGGCAGACTCGTACTCACCGGACATTAAAGGCATCTCTACTTCCGCTTTCTGCCGCCTCCACCTCCACGTCCACCTTTACCTCCTCCTCTACCGCCACCGCCACCGCCTCCTCGGCCTCCACCTCCACCTCTTCCTCCACCAGTTGCTTGAGCTCGAGGTCTTTGATCCTTCCTCATGCTGCGCTTGCGGTTCTCCGCTTTTCGCTCTGCGTTATCTTCGTTGCGCTTCTTGATGAGCTCGAGGCGCATGCGGGACTTGACGATTTGCTCGGGTCGACGCAGCTCCTTGTCGGGGCCACCCATTCGTTTTTTAAGCTCCACCTTCACATTGTGGCGCGCATGTCGGCTGACTGGGTAGCGCTGGGCATGGCTCAACGGCTTGCGGCTGTCCTCATCGTTGCCAGCGGTCTCACGCTCCACCTGCTCCTCGATCTTGGACTTCTCCTTCCAATCCGTGTAGCGACCCGTCTTGAAGGAAGCAGGAATCCAAGCGCCAGATTCGGTGCGAATTTTGTTGGCCCGGGGATCCTGCACGGACACCATTTTCTTCTTGATGCGGTCCCATTTCTTCAGCCCGGGCTTGTGCTTCGCGTCTTGTGCAGAGTTGCGATCCACAACCGAGAACTCGGCATTCTGTGCTTGTCGCTCGAACGTGTTGATGGCCAGACCATCCTCGGTGTGCTTGTCGGCCGACTGATAGGGCACGTAATGCTCTGCGTCCTTGGTGTTGGCACTGCGCTTCTTCCTCTTTGGCTTCTCTTTGTACAGGTCATCCATGTGCAGACGTCGCTTCGGCGCCACGACCTTGTTAAATGTACTACTAATGGCCTCTTCATCGGCGGTGTCCATTCTGGCTGTGCTTGGCTCCTGTATTTCAGCGTCCCTTTGAGCCTCGTCAACATCCTCGTCAGCGCGCTGCTGTCGGAACTTTTTGATGACCTCCGCGTGCTCTGAGCGCTTTGTCTTCATCACAACGAATTGAGTGGACTTCTGTGTGCAGTTGAGCTCGAAAACGGTCTGCAACAAATAATCGAAGAAATTAGAGTGTTTGCTGGGAAAATAATGGGGGCTATCATACTCCACACGGCCTAAAGTTGCGCATTTTGACCAGTATGTCGTGCTTGTCCTCCTGCAACTTGCGCTCGGCAGCAGCCACCTCTTCCCGAGACTCACTCGACTGGCCATTGACCTCGGCGGCTTGGGCGAGCGCGGGAGCAGCGGTGAAGAAATCCTCCAGGGGCTTTAGTGCATAGAATTTAATCTTCTTGACGCGCGCGTTCGCATCTGTTGAGGCCACTGGACGCGAGCTCAAGTACTTCTTGTAGGCATTCTCGCTGGTGCGTAATACTCCGGCCTAAACAGAACAAGAGAAAAGCCATGAATAATGTGCAGAACCACTCGTATAACTACTTACTATATGGTGACTCTTCTTTATCTCGTTCACGCTCAGATGCTCCTCCTCCAGCAGGTCTTGTGGAATGGTGCCCATGGTGGAGCTGTCGTGGATATTGAAGGGCCTATTGAGGAACAAGTGCAGGTCCAGCAAGTGGGCAGTGTCATCGGTGGAGAATATGGAATACGCGGTGCCAGTACGTCCCGCTCGGGCACATCGTCCCACACGGTGCACAAAGAGCTTGGGCTTTCCCGGAAAGTGAAGGTTGACCACATAGTCCAGGCTTGGTATGTCTATTCCGCGCGCCGCCACGTCGGTGACTATCAGTACCGAAACCTTTTTGTTCACAAACTTGGCCGTGTTGATCTTACGCGCAGCTGGGTCCAGGCTGGAGTAGACGGATGTGTTGGAGATGCCAGCTTCCCCGAGTATAAAGGAAATCAGTTCAACGTGATGCTGTGTGCCGGCAAACACAACGGTTTGCGACTCCTTGGGGATAACATATTTGAGCAGAACCACGAGGGCTGTGTAGCGGTCATCGGGCCGGCAATGTAGAAACTTTAAGGCCAATGCGTCTGGCAGTTTTGACTCCACATCCAAGCGTATGAGGACTGGATCGTTTAATCCGGCGCGTGCAAAGTCCACTAATAGCTTGGGCAGCGTAGCGGAGAACATAACCATTTGGCGTGTAGCAGGCAGTCGATGCAGCGTTTCATTCAACTGCTCGCCGAAGCCCATTTCAAAGAGGCGATCGGCTTCATCAAACACTACATAATCTGCAAAGATGAAGGTAGACATTGGTTATTGGCGTTATGCATTTGCACACAAGCAGGGGGCCCAAATACTGACCTATGGAGTTTAACTTTAGGTCCATTTCAACGCACAGATGGAGGAAACGGCCCGGCGTGGCGACAATAACATCCGGGCATGTGTGGATAGCCGAGAACTGCGAGTCCATTGAGTCGCCACCGAGTACCAGAATGGTCTTCAGCTCCATAAAACGACCCAGTTCCTTGATAAACTTGTATGTTTGCACTGCCAACTCCCGAGTGGGCGATAGTATCAAGGCGCGAGCGCCCTTTGTTGGATCGCGACGCTGAAGCTTCTCGAACAGAGGTATCAAGAAGCACGCTGTTTTGCCAGAGCCAGTTTTGGCCATGGCGACAACATCTCGTCCCTCCAAGATGAGTGGAATGGTCTTCCTTTGAATAGGCGTAGGCACTTTGTAGCCGCGCTTTGTGATGCCTTTGATTAGTTCAAAGCCCAGACCCATGGACTGAAACCCGCCGCTTTTCTTTGATTTGGGTTTACTCTTGAGGATGTCGTCGCCCCGTCCACCGCCACCCGCATCGTTGTCCAACGAAGGAAAACCAGGTATCTCATCTGATTGCTTTTTACCCTGTCGGAAGAGAACAGCTCAATTTCATTGTCGTGCAATTTTTATTTATTTCCATTCTCCTTACCATTTTGCCTACACGTGCAACGGATGGGTTATCGATACAGCTATATCGATACTATATCGATTCACGAATGTCGTACTACACTCGATATTTGTCGACGCTAGATTTAATTTTCGGGTACACATTTAAATAATTCGACTAAATGCAGTGCAGACTTCTTTATGATCTTGCAGGTGTTGTCGACATTCGTTCCCCTGAACACCAAAGGAATGTCTCGGGTGTCGTGTGTCCTCCGCCACGGCCTCAATCTGCCCTCAATACCCAGCCACAGCCAGCAGTAAAACAAAAATGTTTCATATTAATACAAATCTGTTAGAAAATGTTATGAAACCGCTCAAACAATTTGTGTTTAGCAACTGAACTTAAACTTAGCTGATTAGCTTGATAAACTATTCTTAAAACTTAAAACTTAACTGTTGAGCTCCTTCATTAGAAAACTGTACGCCGATACGTGCGCCAGCAGTCAATATAGTGACATATTAAATAAAAAGTTCCCTCCGGTGGTATGCACTAGTGCTATCCGCTATTTACATAGAAGTTTATTCTAGGTCCTAACTACAAGTCACCTAAATAATCGATTTCTGCCTCCGATTCGCGAATGAACACAAGCTGCTCCAAGCGGTCAATGCGTTTCAGCATTTGCTCCTTTTCTCGGTGAAAGGAATCCACCCGCCGGCGCAATTCCTCGTTCTGCCGTCGAAGATCGTGCAGTTGCCGACAAATTTCAGAAGAAGTCAGCAGCGGCATTACATTAGCGCCCTTTGCGCCGAGCTTTGCTACGTTGCCCACAGCCTTGCTGGCAACTCCGTTGCTTGTTGTCCCGAGGGCAGCTCCACGTGCTGGGGATGGACGCAGCTGTATTGTCTGCACGGTGCCCACTTGGCCCCTCAGCGTGCTCGCCGTAGCGGGACTCGCCGCGGGGGCCTGCTGGGACGATGGGGAAATAATGTCGTTCAGCAGCTGCTGCTGCTCATCCAGCATGCTGGGTTCCAGGGTTCTCGGAACGGATGGAAGTTTCAGCTAAAAGTAGACAAGATGATGACCATGATGAGTTTTACTTTCGTACATTCAAGCATAGCGGCGCTTAGGAGAAATTAAACCAAACTAATCTTAGCAATAGAAAACCAAAACAACGCCACCACAAACCTGACGAGACTGAAGCTGACGCATGTTCACCAGTTTGGTGCCATCGGGGAGCTGACGTACCATTCCAGAGCTTTGACCATGTATAGAAGATGAAAAATAAACACGATTAGACAGGCTGCTGGCAACTACCGAGGATGCCGGCCTACCTTGCCAATGATGCGGGTATTTTCTGTAAGGACTTTGCCTGATTGTCCGTCCCGCAAAGTTTCTTAAAATCAGTCAACGAGATTATGCGTATGTTCTGCTTAGAAAAAGAACGTCAGTAATGGTGTTACGTAGAGGGAACCACCACATGGGTCTGTCTACCTTGTTCTTGGACACCCCAGGCGGATTGGACGATGCTGGCTCCTTTTGCTTGATGACATTCATCCGAATCTTCTGGGGGGGCGAGTTATTGGGTGTGAGACGAAGACCCACATTTGGGTTTTTGCTGGCACTTCCATTCACATATTGCTTGATGTTTATGCTCGACTTTGTTTCGTGCAACAGCATACGGCCTCCTTCGGAGAGCACGAGCTGTCGACCGTTTTGCAGTGCCGTATTCAACATTTCCTTGGAGGCGTCGTCGTCGTTCTCCTGCATCATGTCTGCAATGCCGTGGGTCTTGAGCATGTTCAATGCCGAGTTGCCCAACACGTTAGTGTCTGCAAAAGGACAACTTGGTTGCTACATTTTTTCTGATTTAATTAATAATGTTTTACTTACGGCCGCGGAGGTTTTCCAGGACATCCATTCTTTCTTCGACTGACATTTCTGTATCTTCACTCCTTTTGGTGTCCCCGGGCTCGTTCATTATTGAATTGACCGCCTCACTGGTTTCCTTCTACGAATCAAATATAATACATAATATTAATAGTTAGCCTTCTGACTGGCATTCATTGGGTGTTTGTTAATTCTCTACAGTCCAAAGTGTGGGGTATTATGGGACGGGACATTTCGGAGCTTGGAGCAATTTTGTAGCAACCAAATATGGAATATTTGAGGTACATACTCTGCTTTTATGTGTCTGCCGCTGGAATCGGTTTATCGCATTCGTCGGTAGTGAGAAATCGTATATGGATAAGTTGATAAGTAAGCGTAAAAACTAGGGACTAACGGAAACTAAGAGTATCCTGTACACACACACACATACACACACACAAAACTCTGTTTGGCACTCACCTCCGTTTCTTCGTTAAACTTTCGACTGGCCTGGGCCTGCCGCGCCGCCTCCAGTTCCGCCAATACATCCGCCTGTTCAGTGTACACGGCCAATGCAATTGGGGTCTTGCCGAATTTCGAAACTAGCGACACATCCGCCTGGCATTTTAGTAACATTCGCACAATGGTTTTGTGCTTCTTCTCCACAGCCCAATGAAGCGGCGTCATTCGAAGCTGTGCGATGGGACATAGTCACGTTATTGAATCATGGTAAAACTCGTTTCTTACCATGTCTCGAGAATTGACGCTGCACTTGAGCGCCAACAATAATCTGACTACTCGCTCGTGGCCGTAGTAGCAGGCTAAATGCAGAGGCGTTCTGTCCACCTTTGTTTTGGCGTCCATATTGATGCCGCCCTGTAGAAGTATTTCACAGATTTCCAGTTGATTGTTCATGGCAGCAAAGTGCAGAGCGGACATTCCCAGCCAGTCGGAGGCAAAGGGGGCTCCATGTGCAAGCGTCGTTTTGACGCCAGTCACATCGCTGTCCCTTGCGCATTGAAGCAGTTGCTTTCCCAGGTCAACAACAGTTGATGTTCCAGACCCATTGCCCTTCTTTAGTTGGTGTTCCCCTTCGGTCCGCTAGACAACCAAAAAACGTTAATTTAGCCTCGATATGATACTCTTGCTACTTACAATTTCGTAGTGAAGCAAGTTGGAATGCTCAGTGGGATCCATTGGATACACATTTCCATCCGCTCGGAGTGTAGCGACAACCTTGCTGGGGCCGCCTTGGCTCTGCATTTTAGCATGCAAACACTTTCAGCAGCACGATGAACCTCTTAGTAAGCATACCTGCAAGCTGATTTTCTGATAAAATAAGCCAATCGCCCCGACAAAAAGAAATGTTTATGTTTTCCAACTAAATTTACCAGGGATGTGGAATCTGTCGATATACTTTTCAGCACGATGGTCTTGCAGCCCTAGTTGTACAGCTATATAAGCAGGGTTGCTATCGATAACACTTGAACGATAGTGGCAGTTGATATACATTTTTAAATTTCACGCTCAGGCACATTTTTTTTCTCTTTTTTTTAATATGCAGCTGTTAGTTTTAAAACAAGACAGTACAGACAGATTGCTGTAATCAGCAAAAAAAAACAGCAAAAACGTATACATAATTGTGCAGAGTTGCTTTCTTTCTTGTGGGAGCCCTGCATATATTGATACATTTCACCGACACAATGTCATATCTTATCACCGATACAATGCCAGAACACGAGCTGTTTATTTCGTGTAGTATTATTCTAGTAAGCAACTTCTGCGGTCGAATTCGGTTTTATTTAATTTTAGCGCAGTGAACTTACATTTTTCCACATGTACGTAAAATTAAAAAAAAAATTGTACATACATATGTATGTACTAGGTAGCCGTTGGGCGTTAGGCGTTAGCCGTTATACGTGCGTCCAAAATCATTATTCACCTTCATTATCCAATACTGCTTCGTCCTAGTGCTTATCATTACATTTTTCAAGGGTTTGTCATTCACTGACAATGTACTTTTATTAGCTGGCACATATTCCAAGAAAGTAATTCTGAAAAAATGTTTCTACTAGCGCAATTATGTACATTATCAATCTGACGTCATGTGTTTGATAAAGATAACTGTAAATGAGACAAATTTTTGTGCCTTGGTTTCGAATACAGATAAGATAAATACGTACGTATTTTATAGCATACCTGTTAGCCGCAACTAACCTATGTACACACATGTGCATATTTAAACATGTTTTGTTTACATATTACTGTACTCTCTATCTCTCTCTCTCTCAAAACTCTTTCAATACAAACCCTTCGTTTCTATCATTATTATTTTCAGATACGTCTAAGAATCCTATATAACTATGAAGCTTTATTCTTTACAAGCCATCGTTATGGTCTATTTAACAACATACCCCAGCACTTTATTAGTATTGGCCCAAACAACCGACCAGTACAATGCAAACAAATTAAGGTAAGAATACAATTTTAAAAATATATACAATATTTACCATACCTTCCATTTCCTCTTATTTTAGTAATATTGAGGGTATAGACAACGTAACGACAAGTGAGCCTTTGGACCCAACGTTTTCTTTGAGTACCACCGTCGAGAAAAGTTCTTCAACCGAATCGAGCACATCGACGTCTTTGGGGCCCATTAATACTGCCTTACCAGCCGACTGTTCGCAACGGGAGAAGAACAGAGCACAGCCAGTAGCAAAGACTTCTTCACGCCTTCGAAAATGCTGTCCGCTTGGGGAAAACCTGGACATCTATCGGGAAAATCAAAGTGATTCGATGTGCGACAATGGCATACTAAAGTTTGAACCGACTGTAATAAGCGCAGTTCTGTTTGATAATTGCATTGAAGATCTGGAAATTGAAACGATTCTTGACTATGATATTGGAAACCCATGTAACAGGTAAGTCGATCTCCAACTTGTTGTTTTTTTCAAGCACTACAATGGCCTTTACTTCAAGAGCAGCTCCTTTCAATATGACGATGAAGAGGATGTTTTCTTTGTGCTACAAGATGGATCGCTGTTGATTATCGATCATGACAACGAATCCTACACCGTCGAAGAAAACTACTGCCTGGATATTGACAAGACGGGACATTTATTTGCCTTCACGTGCATCACTCAAGTCGAAGAACAAATTGCATTTGCAAAAGTAATTGCCCTTTTTTGACCAATTGAACCAATAATTGGTTCCCGACTAACGCTGCCTCTCTTACTCTTTCTTTTAGGTGGTAATGGTGGCGGTCCTAATGCTAATATCCATGCCCTGTCTGCTCCTAGTCAGCTATTTGCATTTGACCCTTCGTTTGCTGCGGAACTTGCACGGTCTCTGCCTGAGTTTGATGTCTCTGTGCTTGGCCTCGGGCTACTTTGTGCACTCTGTTGTGCACATCTACGGGATTCCGTACACCGGATTCATTGGCTACGTTATACAGTTCTTCATACTAAGCTATTTCTTTTGGTACTTCTGCGTATGCTTCAACGTACTCTTCAACGTGTGGTACAAGCTGCCCTGCTGCATACAACTGAGCAAGACGTGGGCTACCATTAATTTCGTGTGCTATTGTTTGATTGCCTTCACGGGACCGGCTACTTTGGTTACGCTTACGGTGCAGAAGGGATTGCCGGGAATGCCATCGTACTTTCTGCAAGGCCTTACGGAATCTATCCGAGAATCACAGCGCTACTTCATACCTCCTGTATCCACAATTCTAATTTGTAGTTTTTTGGTAAGCTACAGCTGCTTATGGAGGGATTACCATTATATACGCTGACATCTTCCAGGTTAACGTAATATCGTTCTTCGGCTTTCAACGCATTAATGGCTATACAAAGGCAGAGAAGAATGACCATGCTGGACCAACTGATGTCATATTCGATCAGCAAAAATACGAAGATGTGAAAAAGGAGTAAGCGGACCTTGCATCTGTCTGAGACTTGAGCAATCCTTACTGTATTCTTTTAACCTGTTTTCAGTGCGAAATGCGTTTGTCTACTGGGCATCATTATGATAGTAAGCTGGCTACTGGAAATAATCACATTTTACTCGGGATCCAACTCCAAGTACCTCGTTCTCTGCGATATGGTGAATGGCCTGCAGGGAGTGTGGGTTTTGCTCATTTTTCTTGTGGTCCGCAGACGTCGCACAATCATTTTGCGCTGGTGGTACGATCGCGGCTCTCATAAGATCGAAGGTACAGAGCTGGAGGAGCTCGATAAAAGTGGGAATCATATATAGTAGTTGTAGTTGTAGTGCCCCGTATGCCCTCTTGTATAATAATAGAAAAATAAACATAGTTACCATAATTTTATAATATGCATATAAATGGTTGTTTATTTCGTCTTACACATAAATATGAAATTTTTGTTTTTGTTCTTGTTCTGGTTGTTGTTTCTGTTATTTGCATACGTGTATGATCATATAGTTTAATAGTCCAGTTAATTGTAAGAAAGTTTTACCAACTATGCTTTAAGTATGCTAATAATCTTAAAGGAAATGTGTAATTTGTTTGGGCTATCCAAAGCATGTCCAAAATGAGCCTTTTCATATTTAGTTACTGACTTACGATGGTTGTTGATGTTAAATAAGGATAAGGATAAGGTTAGAATAAATTGGTTTGCTTACGTTTCTGTGCTACGCAGTGGCATTGTGATTTGCATCATTAACTAAATGCGTATTTACATGTTATATGCGACGTAGATGGGATCCAGCTGATCGGCAAGAAAGCCATCCCGTAAATGCATCCGTTGCTTTTCACCACGGCTGTTAATAGGCACCACTCCTGCAAAAACACACCCACAAAAATCACTCGTCAATTTTACTCTTATACTCTGTCTCTCCATCTCGCTCTTACTCGTGCAGTGCGCGCCCTCTGGCGGAGGGAAGCCATACTGACTGAGTATTCTGTTTTTGATTTTGTTGTTTTTTTTTTTGTACAAACCTGGATCAACAACCACAACGACGCCAACTATTAGTTGGTGATCTTCCAATACTGTATTTGTGACCAGGGGAACCAGGTCCAACGCCTCCGATTCATTGCCATCGAGCTCCACAACGACGACCAGCAAATTGGTCCAGGTGAAGACGGCACTGCGGAACAGATTTCGCATGAAATAAATGCAAATTTAGTTGGCAAATGTGGTTTTTCTTACCATTCAGCGATCTTTTTGTGGCACCGCATCACTGAGTTTTCAATATCAATTGGATGATAGTTCATGCCCCGTAAAGAGATCACTTCATCAACAGCCCCGACCACATACACTGCATCGTGCAGCTCCTGGTCATTGGAGTTGCCGGCACCACTTACTATGCTATGCTCGGAGTTTCCCCCCAACGAGGCGTTGGAGAAGTTTAGTTGCAGTTGACTTATGGAATTCAGGGATTCGGTATCACTGTCACGACTAGCCACACTTGGTGTGGTCTCGTCTAGTAACGAAGCTGCCTGTGAACACTCTGTGCGCCGCAAAAAACCCAAATACCCAGTACGTGCGTATATCTCAGCTGTAGCCCCAGTCACCAGTTTGGCGTTGAAGTGATCATTGTAGTCGGTTTCGTCGCCGTATATTGTAAAGTATCCATTTGCATTATGGGGCGCTTGTACCTGCAAAAGAGACATGTGAGCTGCAGCACAAGCGCCAGCGAAAGATCAGCCACAGACTTACCCAAATTTCTCCCAAGTGTGAGTCGCCACAGTGTCCTTTGGTATCGGGATTGGCTATTATAACTTTTACGCCTGGTAGAAGTTTGCCCGATTCAATGACACACAACGAATTCGGGGCACCACGTTCAACCAATGCCACGCGGTTGTTGCGCAACGCTCTCATATCCACATAGACCTGGGCACTTTCTGCAGAACTGGCCCCTTGCACACAAATGGCGGGATTCACACGGCACCCGAAGGAAGTGGAGACGCATCGGGTGTTCAGACCAAGGGCCTGGAACAGCTTGCAAAATTGTTGTGTCAGCTGCACTCTCGGGCGCTCCTCAGCTACCACAACGCATGTCCGCACGCATCGTAGGTCTATATTTCTTTGCTTCAAAGAGGGTATAGAATTGCTTAGTGCTTTAGTGCAAAGCTCTATCACACCATATGAGCAGAACGTGTCGCGAACACGGTGCTGCGAGAGGGTGGACAGCCACAAACTGGGATTAGCTTCAACCTCGTAGGGGGCTATAAGTATTGAGTGGTGACCACTGTACACCCCAATAAGAGTCCACATTACAAATCCAAGACCACAATAGGGATCCAAACATAACGCAACATGACGAGACGGATAAAGTTCACAGGCCAATTTTAAACTGGCACACAGACTAGAGAGAGATCTGTTGAATAAACGAATATACAAATTATTTATGTACTCATCAAACGGAGATTCTAATTGTTTACATACCGATGCGTTATATTGACACCGCTAAGACGTCCACAGGTTGATACACTGAAGTCCAAATAAGCGCTAGAGTCAAAGGAGACTGTGGCTATGCCGGCATATTTGCGTTTTGGGTTGTCATCAATATCCAATATAGGCGGCCATGTCTTTGGGTCGATGGATGTGGCAGCTTCTCGGGACTTGAGTAGCTTAATAATCGGTTGTATAGAGAGCACAATGCCGCTTTTTGACACATCAACGATCATGCGCACCGTGGGCAGAGTAGTGTTTAGGTTTTGAGGATGGGGTGGTCTTATGGTTATAGGTATTGCTCCCAGATAGAGACAACCATAGAATGCGCATAGTAGATCGAGTCCGGGGGGAAATATGAGTGCTGAAAGTACGAGAAGAACCACAAATGATATGGATCACTTCATATTAGTATGTTCTTCTGTGAATGTTTACCAACGTGATCACCGGGCTCGATTCTTCCACGTTCTTGCAGCAAGGCCGCTATCTTCTCGGCCCGTTTGTGCAGCTCGGAGCATGTCAGCGTTTTGGCAATGGCACCTACAGTGTACAGTGTGGGAGCAGAGTATTATTCGCTTATACACACCACAGCGTGCATTCCGAATGAGCACTTACCCTTCGAATTTAGCAGAGTAAATATAATATGATCCGGCGATGTATTGGCGCGCCAACGGAGTACTCCTGTTATTAGTTGAGGCTGCGTATAGACCAATGTTTCGTTGAAAATAAAAGCTATTTGCTGTGGTGGTGGCGACTACTAACCTTGCGCTCACAATCTTCGGAGGACAGTCCGACGTCCCGTCCGTGTGCTTCAGCCAAACGATTACCCTGCACTAAGTTGCCAACCATCACAGAGGCTGGTCCTACACCCGTGTCTGTAATACCACAGCCAGATGATGAGCTTAGTTTTGCAGTAGTTTGCACACCTTTTTGTTTGTTTGGGGAATGGTTAGTAGTTTGTTTGTTGATTTTGTACAAGGATCGATTATGTAAATTATTAATTAAAGCAAATACATTAACATTAGTTATGTTGTCATTTCGGTGTTTTGTTGTTCATTTTATACAGTGTTGTTATTATTTTGTGTTTTGTTGCAGTGTGTTTTGAGTGTATTGTTGTATTGGTCATAGAAGCAATCGCAGCATTGTTGTAGTGTTGTTGGTGGTTAAAAATAGAGGAAAGCAATATTTGTATTTTAATCAGATAACGAAAGCACAGAAAGTCCAGCAAAGCCAATTATTTGAAACAATTAAAACCACTTTTTAGTTCAGTTCAGAGCTGAGTTCAGCAGGCAACTCACCTTGATGCAACTCCCTGGGCTTTGGCAAGTTGGTAACGCACGTGTGTGGACACATCAGCACGTTGGCGGGGTGAAGGGATCCTTCTAAAAATCGACGCCTTGCCTCGCACAAATGTATGCCCCCGAGGGGAGTCTTCGGCAAATGGTTCGGCGGCACTAGTGCTAGGCAATATATCCCGACCTGGTGAATGGAGTCGACGGCCTGAAGGACACGCGACATCCACTGGAAGCTTTCTTCCTCCGAGCAGTCGGGCCGCTGTTCAGCAATAACACAGACGCGCTCGTCGCGAAGTACTTTAATGCTAAATACTGCTATGCGTCCCCGGTAAATGAAACGCATGGGTTCCACTGCTAATACTGTGGCTATGATGTCATCCGCGTTGTGTTTTCGTCCTGTAACCGTCATGAGCCCATCCCGGGAACCGCATACGAACACCAAGCCTCCAGGGCCGAGGAAACCCAAGAGCCCCGACCTGACGTAGTATTCATCGCCAATGGGTTTCGTAATGATGCCAACAGATCCAGTGCCAGTGCCGGTGCCAGTGCCAGTTCCAGTACCCGTCCCAGAACCCTCTTTCGTTTGATCAAAGTCCTCCAATATGGGCTGAACTTTAAAAGTCGAATTTGTCATTCCATCGAGCCCAAAGTAGCTGGCGCTGGTTGAACCACTTGTAACGCATATCTCTCCGACTTGGTCCGTCTTGCACAAGACCGGGGCCCCCTCTGATCGCACGACCACCATTTGCGCAGCCGGCATGACTTGACCGCAGTCCTGCAGTGTTAGGGATGTGAGTGAATCTTCACTGTCCACTCTTACTACGCCGTGCGACAGAGCTGCCATGGAGAGCACACCGCGTCCTGTGGCTGACTGACTAAACCCACATGACCCACGACCCGGACGACGCAGCGAGACGGTAAAGACTTCTGAACTACTTGCACATGGACATATGGCGTCTGAGCGTAAGCCTTTGGCTTGAAATACGTTCAAGAACTGATCACACGACGAAAGCGACCAGGGATTGGCTCCGTCGGCCACTAGTAGCATACGCAATGAAGACAGCGATATGTCCTTGTGGTCTTTAGTGGCCAATAGGCCCCAATGCAAGTCACGGCTCTTGACCAAGCAGCAGGAGGCCCTATGCTTCGTGATCAATTGCATCCAGCTTGAGGGGCGCAGCTTCATCAAGGCATAGGGTATGAAAATAACATGCATGCCGTTCAGAACTGAGGTCAAGACTGCGTGCCATAAGCCAACTTCCCTTTTAAAATCTAGCACACAGACAATGGTCTCCCCCTCGGTGTAGTGGCAGGCCATAGTTAATGCCCGGCAATGATTGATCATAGAAGCCCGCGTCACAGTCACGCCTGCAACAAATGTGAATATGTGATAATGGGGAACACTTCAGTTGGGAAAAACGTGTATACACCACTTACCCATAACACTGCCCTCCTTATCAGTGGTGTACTCAATATAGGACGCTGCTGAATCATCGATGCGTAAGTTGCCAACGTTGAATTCCTTAGGGGGCTTGGGCAAGTGTTCAGTCACGAACCACTGCAAGCGGGGCCATCCTTTTAGCTTCGCAATTTCGCCCGTGGTAGTCGATTTGGGCAGACCTTTCAGGCAAGCCTCCGACGTGAGCGCCACAGTTATGCCGCAAGAACTGAGCAGGAATCCAACCTGCTGGGGAGGTGTGTCGGAGCTCGAGAGTGGCAGCTCTATTGGCAGAGGGACCAAGCCACGAAACATGCAACCATACCAGGCTGTTATAAAACTGAAAGTATTCATTAGCATATTAGCATATGGTCCTTGAACAGACAGGTCTTTGGTATCGTAACTTACCTCAATGGATCGTTATTCGGATAAACCAAAGCAACACGGTCGCCCGGCTTCAAAGTCACTTGCTCGGGGCCTTTGCTAAATATCTTCGTGGACAGTGCGTAGGCTATCTTTTGTGCACGTGACAGCAGCTTTCCGTACGTCAGGGTGGTTGTTATTTTTCCATTAGGATCAAGCACCGTGGCCATGGGACTTTTGAATGAATTTGTGCCATAGCGCTGGAGGGCGCACTCCAGCGTGCGCGGCAGTCCTGCCGGTATCGAGAGCTGCTCGCCCTGTACGGGAGTCATTGTGCTGCCTTCCGGTTTTGGTGCATTCGGATCCTTAGTGTTCGCTGCAATCTCAAGCTCAATGTCGTTGTCCTCATAGAATTCGGGCAGTGGCCGACGCTTGGGCCTCTTGAGCGTGTTCAGCAGTTGCTGTATTTTAGCGGAAACCTTCCATTTACCATTCGCATCTGTCTCGCTAAGTTCGCTTTGGGATACGTTCACATATCGGGTAACGCGGTCAGCAATGCGATGGGCATTATTAAACTGTGTGATGTCTGGAGCGTTGACTAATAAAAGAGCGCAAAATTAATGCTTGTTTGTACGGAGCTGGGCTATACAAGGGGTTGGGTCGACGTGCAGTTCACTTTAATTGACTATAAGAAAATTGGTCTCTATCTATTGTGCATGAATGGGTTGGTATGATACGTACATACGTACATATGTATGTGATGCACTTGTGATGAAACCAAATCTCTTTTTGTGAGCATTACATCCACAAATATATCCACAATTTATACAATTACTCACACTGCTTCTGCTTAAATGCTTTGTCCGAAAAGTCACTGTCTCGCTTGTAAGCAATAGGCGGTGACTCCATACTCGATGTATCAGATGTTGGCTGTGCAAAAAAAGGGATTTTTAATTTTAAATTTAATATTTTTAGTTGACTCGTGTTGCCGTGCAATAACGATTATATTATTATTATTATAATAGTTATAGGTTTTATATAGCCTACAAGTCTAAAAGTCAATACTCACAAGTGGGGGCAGATTTTGGGGTGGCCGTCTCTCTGCCGCACTGTTCGATGATGAATACTTCTGATTTGGCGTTTGTGACTGTTTTACATCAAGTCGCAGATGCTGCTGCGAGCTCATGGATGATTCACGAATTGGTGGTTTTATTATCGGTTCTGGTGGTATCATGCTATTGCTTATGTGATCGCGCGGATAGTTGTACTCCTTGTCGGGGGAAATGGTCTCCTCTGGTATCGATTCGTCATCTGTAGATGAGTCCAGCTCATCGTTACAGCCAGGACTACGGTTGAGCACAGATGTGCGCTTTGATGGCATCGGAAGACTAGGTTTCGGTCGACCTTTAAGTGCTGCTAAGGCCTGCTGAACGGCCTCCTGACGCACCTCTGCGGTTTGAATTCACGCTTGTAGTAGAAATACAATGGTTTCAATTATTGCGATAGACCTACCCGAATGATAACGTTTCTCATTGTGCGTTACTTTGCGCTGTGTGCGTCGCTGTCGGTGTTGACTATTATTTGACGAGGAATGGGACTGATTTTGAAAACCGCTCGGTTCGCGTGTATTCTGATAGCCTGGATCGCCGACTGCACCGCCTTGCGGGCGCATATTCTCGTACCCAGGTGTCCCAGCCGGTCCGCTCTGAGCGGCTGATGATGCTGTTATCGAGGAAGACTGATGAAAGTCTAACTTTTTGGAATGTCTTTGCTGTGAAGAGGATAGAGAAGGTACTTCGGTCACATAGCTATAGCCTTCGCTGGAGACTATGACACCATCATTATTGATGTTTCCGTGACTGTTGCTGTTGTTGGCATCTTTAACGTTGTAATATGGCGGTGGCGGCGTACTTTTTGCCTTGTCGACGCTAATGGCTGTCCATAAAAGTATGCAGGAAATGTGTAACTAAATAGCACAAGACAATATTTCAAATCCTCCCAATTTCGTACATACCTTCATGCTTTTTTAGAAACGGTTGCAATAACTTGGCTCGCTTCTTTTCGTAGCCCTTTTGCGTGATGTCGCCTGAAAAAATATAGGGACATATCACAAATGCGTTTATAACGGCTGGAAGCTAATTATATTACAACTTTAACAGTTATCTCGGCTGTTGTTAGATATGCACAATCGCATATGAGTGTGTATGAATGAATGTATACACACAAAGCTACATATGCTTGTATGAGAGAATGCACAGATGCTGATTAAACATTTAAAATCATGTTTACACCACATTCTGCTAGGCGCATGTATCGGAATCACATGAATTTATTAATTTGAAACATTTTTTGATTGCATTACATATTTATTAATACATAAGACGGCTTAAAAAGCACTGTCTGTGCTTGGGATGAAAAAATGATGGACTGCACAATATTGCACACAAATATATGTATTTACTTTCATGGGGGTAATCAAAACATGAAAACTAAATACATAGGCAAGTACATATGTATGTACATATGGATACAATTACATACCTTCTGAGAGCTCTAGATCTAATTCAGCGAGCTTCTCGCGAATGTACCCAGGCAATGAGGAAGTAGACTCCATGTCCAAAGAATTCGAGTTCGTTGCAAACTTGTATTTGGTTCACTTTTCAAAAGCGTTCAACTTTTTAGCTGGGCGCAGTACACACACACCCAAAATGAGACACCGCTACTTTCCCACTTCGTTGTCAAAAATCGATCGATTTGCCATTCATTATGCTTTACATTTTGCTTCGGAAAATTAACAGAACCCGGAGCTTCTGCAACTAAAACACGCAGGGTCGACGCTAAGTGATAGTTTTTTAAATTCTTAATTATAATTTGCACAGGAAAAGTAAACAAAGAAAAAGTAGCAGTACAAAATCGATTTTATGCTCTGCTAGGCTAGTCTAGCGAAATCTCCGATAAATGTTCAAGTCACAGCCCTGCCGCTGACCATACAGTATATATGTAGATGTGCCAGTTCATGCAACGAAAATGTCGCAAACGATTTCGCTGCGGACGATCCCAGGGTCTTCGGCTCTTGTGAAATGATTTGTGTTGTGTTAATGCGTGTATAATTTTGCTCCATACCCATTACTTCAACATTTTTATTACTTGCCCCACAATATCAGAATAATTGTTCAAGCGCTGAAAATTAAAAAAATACATACAATCATATATCACATATTGTGTGTGACGGCCAGAGCCTAAGAACGTGGGACCGTCCGCAGGCAATTCGTTTGCGACATTTTTGTTGTGTGAGCACTGGTACATCTATTCTCTGTATGATTAGTGACAGTGCGGAGTGACATTTTGTTAATCGATGTATCGAATGAAAACCATCGACGCACGATACAATTATTGCTGAGTTTACCAAAAGTGCACGCGCCAAAAACAATCTGCGACCAGTTTCATTTCATATCTTTATTTTCCTTAATTAAAACAGAGTTACGGCGACCAAAGCTTTAGTTTACAGTGTTTGTCGTAGCATTTAACACAGGATAGGATTCGATAGTTTCAAAACAAGCGGGCAAAAGAGTTGATCAGTCAACGATAGTCTGGGAATCTTTATTTATAATGGGTGAGTTAAATGGAAATCTTCAATGAAACTAAGTTAATTTTCATTCGTATGTGTAGAGAATTTAAAGTTGCAAGAAGAGATAAAGGCACTGAAAGACCTGGGTCAACATTATGAAAGTCTGTTGAAGATGGCTGGTGTTGAACTGCGCGATTTTTCCAATGAAGATTTGTCGCTTTTGAGCAAGAGTGCACAATTGTATGCAGACTTGGGCGTTCACGAGTTGGAATTAAACTATTTAAGTGAATTATACTATGGACTACAGAAAGACCGCATAGAAAACAACCTGATAATCGCGCAGCAGCAAACAGATCTGCAGCGCATCAAGACTTCAATCGACGAAACATCCAAAGATGTAGCTGTATTGGAACGGTAATCAGGACCCCGTTTAATGCATACATATAATGAATATCAATTAATTTATTTTCCTCGCGCTCTAGATTTAAATCCACGGCCGAAAAACAATTGATTCCTGACGGAGACGTTCAGCTGCAGAGCAGCAATCAACTGGCTACCAAACAGGCTTTGCTCGACAGACAGAGAGCTCTCGAGATCCCGAAGGACTTCAATATTGAGAGTATTATGCAAAAGGTTCATTCGCTGGAGCGTAAGGAGTAAAATGTCTGAATTTGTTTTATAAAAAATTCTTTAGATGTATTTACTCAGTAATGCAAAAACACTTTACAATAAAATAAAATAATCAAATTTAAAAAGTGTATCTTTTCGGTTTACATATACGCAGCATATTCTACTCATGCAAAAATGTTATTACTTTCTGTGTTATGTGTCTCTATTTAATGGAGGATACAAAAAGGTTCAATTGCTTCTAGTTTGTGTCGTATATTTATTTAAAGGATCTTGTTTGAAAAAAAAAAAATTGAAAACGAAAATCGATATCGATTTACCAGCTGCTTAAAGCATACAAAATGTGTATTGTGTTCTTCCATGCCATTGCTCAAATGTATGTATGTTTTCCAATTTAGTATATGTTTCATATATATTGGTGTGTATAGATAGAATTAGTAATTTCATATTCTTTAAGTTGTTGCTTGTTGTTATGTATATAAAGGGCGGGTATGTGGCAGACAAACATTTCGGCTAGCAACGCGCTCCACGCCACAGGCCTACTCCACGTTTTAAGCCAACTCCTAGCGGAACTCGGGAGTATCGTCCTGTGTTATGTCTCCGTACTTCCAGATGGCCAAATGGGCGGCTAAAGCGGCTTCTTGCGCGGCCCTATACTGATCCACAAGATCCTTGAGCTTTCGCTCACGACGTTTCTCCGCCAGTACGAGGCCTTCGGCAACGAGCTGTTTTCCAAAGTCAACTTTAGTTGTCGGATCGTGCAGTGTGGCCAAGTTTGGTGCTCCGGCCACCTTCAACTCCACATTAAGCTGCACTTTATGGTTCAAAACGTCTTCAGAAAAAGCGCGTAGGGCTTCCTCCTTATCCTCGTTGTCAGCAGGCAGAGCAACCAAAGCCAAAGCGTACTCCGTAGCATATGGCTTCTCGCTGCTGAAGGCTGGCGGCAAGGCAGCCAAACGATTGGTGGGCAGGGTCTGAAGGAAAAACATACATTAGCATGCCGCAAACGAAAACATTTTGTATAGTGAGTGTCGCTACTGGAGACATATGACGAAGCACGATTCGGGTGCCCCCAGTAACTCTGGGCACTTGCTTCGCACGCGAGTTATTGCAGCTACTGTGGACAGCGGTTGAACCAAAAAATATGGATCATCCTTTGCACCGTTGTAGAGAACTCCTCACGGCTCGGCACAGAGCACCCATTCGGCGTTACTGTAGAGTTTGGTGCACACCCTCGTGCAAGGTCAACACGTCACACGCAGAAGCAGTTTTGATTTAGCAAGCTTATGACTCATGCGTTTCACTTCGAGGCGGAAACGGATCTAAGGAGCGTGCAAATAATGTTTTCATATGGTCGTACGCTTACCTCCTTGTTGCCGTAATCGATGTACAAAACGGTAGCGTTGCTTCCCTGAATTCGTTCCACCTTGGCGCGATACCATTGATTGTCGAAGGTGAACTGAGCGGCCACCAGATCGCCACGCTTGGGCGTGTACGATCCGGCGATGGGGGGATTGCCTTGGAAGTCAGCATGCAGCTTGCTCATTAATGTTTCGAGCTTGGGGCCGTTCTCCACCGACTGTGCGAAGAATGTTAGAGTCTCGGTAATTTCAGTAACAATTACATTTTCGTAGTTGACTTTGCGCTCTACCACGACCTTCTCATCCTTTTCCTCCTCAACAACAACCTTCTCCTCTGGCTCCACTTGCTCCACATAGTTGACCCAGATGTTCTTCTTGGCCGCCTTGGCACGGTCCTCGGCACTCTTCAACAGGCGATAGTACTCGGACTTTCCCGCACTGAAGTGCACTTCGGCAAGACCTTCTTCCACAAGAGCAACTGAGAGGTTGGCCCCGCTGTCGGTCCACAGCCAGCCAATGACTGCAGAGCCTGCCTTGTCAGTGGTATCAATATGCACGGAAACTTCGCGTTGCAAAACACGCTCGCGGGTAAAGGTAAGAGCCTCGTCACCGAACGGTTCTCCTTCTTGGGCAGGTACGCCATTCAAGGCGGGGCGAGAAGAGCGCGGACAAGATATTCCTGCTAGCAGGAATGTCACCAGACAGCTGTCCTTTGGCACAAAAATACGCAGACGGGAGCCGCTCGCAACAAACTCGACGATGGCTTCGGATCGAAGGGCACGCTGCCACGAGGGCAAGTACTGCACCTTGATTCGGGAATGGTCAACAGTCAGATCGTTCACACGCAGAGTAGCGTTATCCTTCTTTGCGTGCAGGCCCTTCAGTCCCTTGATAGCTTGCTGCTCAGCAGCAATCAGTTGATCGTAGGCGGAAGATCTCTGATCGTCATCTTGGCGGTAGCGGACGCATGTAGCCAAGCCCTTTGCCACCATGGCTTCAGCCACATTCTGACCACCGATCAAGACTGTGTAACAGTACTTCTCAGGGAAATTTTCGCGAGGCGGCGAGATGTAATCCAGATTACACGTCACTTTCTTGTTGATCAGTTTCTTACGCAGGAATTCGCGCGCGTCAAACATGTGCGGAATCTCATAAAGCGGCCGGTAGTTCTTTCCACGCGGTGGAGCCTTCACAATTTCCTCACCATCCGTGCCAACCACAGCACGCTGGTCACGTGGCGGCCTTATTGACGAGAAGAACACCTTTTTAACGTGGCCATTAAAGAGACGCACATTGATAGCATCGCCATTGAAGACCTCGATTACAGTGCCTCCAAAATCTTTTTCCTTCGAGTTAAAAGCGGGTGTTTTCGCTTGATAGTCTTGCCACTGGCGAAGGCGTTTCTCCTTGGCAATACGCTCCGCAGCGCGCAGCTTATCCGCACCTGCAAACGGAAGAAACAAACGTATTTAATTGAAATGTTGAAATATATATTCATAAACATTTCTATCTGAGAATGCGGATGTCGGCGGGGTGAAATGAACACAGCGGCAATATGAATCTGCCACAACATTCTTGGAGTCCGTCATTTATCTAGCAGCCGCCTGCTCAGTAAAGCAGCACATCGCAAGGTTATGTACCAATTGGGTGCTGCGCTGAGCAAACGAGCTGCCTATGAACTTGTCAATGAATACTGCCGGTTGGACTGTACACTCACCTGTCTTCATTACCGCCATGGACCAGTCCACGCACTTGGCTAAGCCTTCGCGCAACAGCGACTCTGCAATGTTGCCCTTCGGATACAGAATCGATCCGATGAAGTTCGAGTTGTTAACCGATTCCAGTCGGATCTCGACATCACGTTGCAAGAGGCGTGTCTCGACGTAGTAGCGGGCCTCATCTGCGAACGGCACCTTGACGCTAAGGTCGGGCTTGCCATCAGCATCCAGCTTTACGCCCGGGCAACGAATTCCGGATATCATGAGAGTTATATAATGGAAATCGGGCAGCAGAAACGCGCGCACAGTTGAGCCGTCTCTCACGTGTTCGATGATAGCCTTGACAGGCTTTCCTCCATAGATATCAACAATGTGGGCAGGATTCTCGTGAGCCCACTTGATGTTACGAACCTTGTCTACGGCGTTCACATTATGCGACCACTTACCGCGACCAGCGGCACGAGCTTGGTCTTCCAGCTCAATTAGAGTTTGTTGCTCAGGCGTGGGGCGTCCTTCGCGGCGGACGGACACCAAACCCTCGCGCACAATCGACTCAACCACATTTTCGCCAGTTTCCTTATCCTTTCCAATCCACACGAAACCGTACTCCCGGTTGGAATTGGCGGGCTTGTCGAAAGTGAACGTCACTTCAACGCCGATCAACTTCTTACGCAGGAATTCCCTTGACTCCCAGGCCCAAGGTTCGTCTTTAGTCTCGTCACCGCCAGCACCGGGCCGACGAGCTAGTTTCGGTGCTAGGACATGTGAGAAGGTAATTTGTTTCTCCGGAGGTGGGGCACCCTTGGTGGCGCGAATTACCAATGTGTCGCCAGAGAGCACCTAAAAAATAGCGAACGAAGCCCGAAGTGAGGTTAAAGTGGCATGCACATGTCAGTAGTGGTGGCATTGTTATTTTTCGACACTATCGGATGCTATCGTCTATTGTTTCGCCCATTGTTCCACCTCCTTTTAAATCACAATCTATTCGAAATGCTATCGATATTTTGTATTTTTTTAAATATTATGAACAATTCTTTTAAGATAACAATGCCCCCGATTTCAACAGAAAAGTTGGGAAACTTTGCAGCTCTCTACTTGGGGATCAGTAAAACGGTCGAGTCTGCTGAGAAGTGCATCTATTGTGCACATTTAGGCTTGTAGAGCACGTGCGAATTGGCCTAAGAAACTAAGAAATACGCCTGGGGCAGCTAATATTCTCCTAGGAATTTTGTCCAATAAATCTTTTTATAACTCCTATCGGCATACGTTTCGATGACAAAAAGGGCGGCCTTTTCTCTAAAAATGCTCAACAGGTTTTGCTGTTAAAACGTACGGATGCCAACGACACACCTCTGGTCTGTTTCTCCTACTTTCTATAAACGGATCGACAGATAATTGTTATCACCATAGACCAGGACAAAGGTGCATCGAGTTTATTTATGTGTCTGAAAATATCATGGGAGTGACGGAAATGGTCAATTGGGCCAGTATTGTCGAAAAGAGAAAGTTGGGAGAATGAATCCTTAACGGAATTATATTTATTTATTTTGTATACATACATGCATGTACATGCATATGTATGTACGCCTGCATGTTGGGGCGAAATGCCTGCCGAGGGCCAATGTATTCGCCGAAGAGGTTAGGAACGAACAAATTGCCGTACACCGAGAAGTGCTTTTTATAAAACAGAAAAATACCCATATTTTATGTACATGGCATCGTTCGAGTCCACAAAAATGCTTTTATAGTAAACAGCACCATTAAAAGCGATCAGAAACACCGGCAAATTGTGTTGATGACGTTGCCAATGTCCACAATAACAACAACCTCTCAGGCACACGAATAAACGAATACACACACACGCATATATACATACATACGTATACGAAACTAGCACCGCGCTGAAGAAAATCTGCCAGGTTGGCACCTTCGATAACTTTCATTTCTTCTTTGGACAAGCGTGTGCAACGTGTCACTCACACACTCATAGCGTCAATACGCACGTCTCTTTCGCACTTGTCAGAGCTGCACTCGGTCATTTTAACAAGCCGCCGCATTTGCCACGCTGATGACAGATAATACATTTATTTCCTTTCCAAATTGCGAGCAAGTTCCCTAAGGCTGAGTCCACGCACAGCCTGAATCCGCCCCAACTCCTTTTTATTCAAATGAACTTACTTGTTTCACAATTCCGGACAACGTCTTCGCTGGGGCTGGAGGCGCACCATCTTTCGGTGCTCCGGCAGCTGTCACGGTATTGGCTGCTGTTGCCATTTTACGTAGAAATGCGGGTGAGGTTTTTACCAAAAGGCCCTTACACAAGGCTGTAATAAGCGGATTATATTTGTCACGTTACTGACAGCTTTTAACTTAATTAAGTTATTTGAGCAAGGAGGAGCCACACACAAAATCGTCCGAATTTTCACAGCAACTGTGGGTCGTGCTGGGGATGATGAACCACCGATATATTGTATTTTCATTTTCCAGCACTGGGTTCTTTATCGATGTCTGGGAACTATCGATGCAGATGGCGTGATCATATCTCTAGCGACGAATTGTATGAGATTTTTATGTCAAACGATGCTGATAACGAATTAGTATTCGATGTGGGTTGAGACATGGCTTTAAATTGCATTTCGGCATGATTGCACCAGCACAACGAGTTCGACTGTGGACCAGACTATCGACACAACAGACACGATAAGTGTTGGAATCCGTGTTTATCGGTGCCGCGCGGTAACACACATCTCTAAATAAAAGAAAGTAATGAGCCGCGAAAACAAATTGTTTGGCGATAAAGCCTTCGAATTGCTGAAGGACCTGGAAAGGTCCTCCCAAACCATTCCCGCTTTTGATGACGACGGAGTGCGCCAAGTACTTGAGGAGATAAAGGCTATTTTCGAGGAGAACGTCGCTCAGGCTTCCAGCTACAACAGCTCTGGCGATCGGAGTTTGTGGCCGCTGCTAAATTATAGGCATGCGGCGTTGCAGCGGAACAAACGTTGTTTACTGGCTTACTTGTACGAGCGCAGTAAACGCATCAAAGCGTTACGCTGGGAATTCGGACCAATTATTCCTGGTGATATTAAGCAGGCCCTGTGCGAGCCCGAGGTTCAGTTTTTCAACAACTACTCCAAGTCTTTGGCGGCCTACATGTGCATCGCTGGCTGCAGCCAAGGGCAGGGCATCGATCTGACAAATAATCTACGGCCTCCCAAATCTCTGTACATTGAGGTGCGCTGCATGGAGGACTATGGAAAATTTGAATTGGATGATGGAGAGCTAATCCATTTGAAGAAGAACAGTCAGCACTATTTGCCGCGGGCCCAGGTGGAGTCTCTTGTGCGGCAGGGCATATTGCAGCACATAGCTTAACGGTAAAAACTATTTTAGATAAAATATATGACAGTAATAAATAATTTTACAGATCCGTGTATATCTTACTTCCGATATTTCCTGTCGATTAATCGTGTAACTGGTGTGGAAACATCGATTGGGGCCTGTCAGCTGTTCGCCGGTCTTACGTGACGGCCTCGTCTTTTGGTTTTCTTAGAATTTAAAGTTTAAACTTGATAAAAATGAATCAGGCAGATGTAACGAAACTGATGTCACAGCTGCGGATTGCTGTGCGGCCCAATCAGCGTAATTTGAAGAATCCAGATGGAGCTGAGGGGCGCTTGCTGAAGCTACGTAAAACTGTTACTGCCTTGATGAAGCATGAGCGTATTGAACTGTACTACAATCGGGCCGATGAAGCTCGTGGCTACGCCGAACTGGTGCGTATAAATGTCGAATACTTTTTCAGTTCCAATTCAGTTGAATACATCCCATTCCCATTCGAAAACAGCTCATTTCCAATGCCATACGACATGGGGACCGGCATAGGGCCACTATGGAACTAGCTGATTATTGGCTCCTGGAGAAACAGCTGGTACATAAGCTGTTTAAAGTACTCGTTCCCCGCTACGAAAACTACAATGTATCGTACACTCGAATGTACAAAGCTCCGCGTGATTATCCGGGAATGTACTACAGACAGTCGGTGCTTGAACTCCGTGGCAATCCCTACCCTTCCCTATTAATGGATCAATCACAGAACCGCAATCTGCTGCACAATGTGCTCCTTGATGAGGCCAGGAAAGAGTACAGGCGTTCAAAGTTAGCCGACTTAGTTAAGTAGGAAATGAAACTACTTTCTTTGTTGCCACTTGGATTGCTTATATTTAAGACTTGAAACCCGATTTATTATAAATACATATATATATAAGATTCACGAACAACATTCATTGAGCCCCTAACAACTGGGTAAATTAAATTTGTATAATCTTTGGAATGCATATCCTATGTAAATGTCCTGCTAAAGCTTGCTGACATTGCAGTGGCTTAAGTAATCGGATTTCCAATCTTGAGAACACAGAAATAGGTTAGCGGTCATTTTTAGTTGTCCAATTGGGGAACTTGATACTTACCCTTACCGGTTAGACAGATATCCCGTACCATTTCGCACTGGCTGTAGAAAAACTGATGTTCGTTTATGGACGTTGCACAGATGGGCTTAAATGGATCACAGGTTTCGATGGCCATACATGCCGAGCTGCTCTGTTTTAATGGCAGAGAGACGCACAGCGCAAATAGTATAGACACGATCGAGATCAGGAAGCAAAACAATACAATTTTCGTCGCGGCTTTGCCGGTCAAAGTAAACATTACGTGCATCTTGTCTGTCTAAAACAATCCCACCATAACTAAGTAGAGATCTGTTTTCAGTTTTCAGTCGGAGCTGCTTAAGCACTGGCAAAAGTGATTGGCATTTGCTGAATACTTGTACATTTGATCTCCGATTGCACCGAGCCAAAATTGTTCTCTGACGACACTTGGAAACGGCTATCCAGCAACTGATAACCACTGTATGTACATGTACATCAACCGCTGATGCATGCTGATTTGCTTTATGCTCTCCAAATTCAAACTCAAACACGGGGCGTTGCCATGGAAACAAGCACAGCACATTGTTACTGACCAAAGAATCAATGATAACTGTTCCCTTTACCGCTGTTCTCTTCCGGGAGCTTTTGTCTATGCCACTCGTGAAATTTGTATACTTTGAATGGCTGTTTAACTGACTGGAACACTGGCTCCGTTCGTTGTCTGCCGTCCAAGTGGTGCGCACATGTGCATACATGCAAGCTGTTTTATTTATACATATTTGTAATGACTCATAATGCTAATTGTTAGCTTAACAAATAAGGCCGGCATTCGGAGGTAAACTAATAATAATAATGGTTCCATTAAACAATAGACAGCTTGAACTCCAAATGATATTTATTCCTGCAAGTTCCAGTACAGACGATCAGGACGATCCTCTTTAAGGTATTCCAATTTTCACGTAAAAGAAGCCGAAATGCTGATATGTTTCGAATGGAATGCAGGTCAAGGCAACAGAAAGCCATAGAATGTGGCCTTTATGGTGGGTTTAAAATAATGGTAAATGGTATGTACCATGAAGTTGATTGATTTATATTGATTGGGAGCATTTTGTTTGCAAATCAAGTCAGCGCACAACTATTCCAGCCATCTAATGGCTAATCAAATCGTAAGGCATAAAGGCCTTCTGTCATAAAGTAACGACGCGACGGCAACGTCATCAATTTCCTTGTTAAAGGTGCGGCGACTGTCAGGACTGCCAGGACTGAGCGGGAGTCTGCCTATGAGAGGCCAGAGAGGTCAGGTGACTTAATTACATTTGCATTATTAAGTTTTATGATAGCAGTTGGAGCCCATAACGCCTACATACTGACCTCAGGTTTGCTGCTAACGACGCGTCGCAGTGCAATTAAAAAAGCATACAGTACACACATACACACAGCCATATGTACATATGAATATACATATGTACAATGTACATACATATATGTATATATGGTGCCCTTCGTTTTCGCAACATTGTGTTATGCCTTATATTTCTTTTTGACTTTACAATATTGCATGTATGTATGTAGTAGTAAGGATTACTCTAAGTTGGATTAGTATGTCCTCGAAGACTACAAATTTAATAAAAAACGTATTGAAAACTGATTGATTTGGCTTTTCTGGGGGAATACGGAAAGACTGGTTCTTCAGTGGTCTGGAAATGCATTTGGTGGGTGGCCGCAGGATGCATGACAGGGTGGAGCTTGCATTATGACATTGTGAGCACGCTTCACTGAATCGGACCTAAGGCCCATGTTCGCCTTGCCGAGTGATTATACACCTGGAAAGAATGCGACCATCGTGATTAGCCGCCATGTAATGTAAGCTTACATATGTATGTACATACACATCGGATAAATGGGATAGTTTTTGGCATCATCGTGCTTTACTTTCATACATTTCATATGTAAGGAAGCAAATGCGTATGATTTCCATCAACTTGAGAGTTTCTAAAGGGGTTGATAACTGCTGTTGGGTCTGTCATAATTCTATATTTGCCGTGGCGATATGTACATACATATGTATGTATGTATATATGTAAATCCATCCATATCTATCGTTCAGCCTGGGATGTACGAATTTTCGCTTGTGCAAGCACACGCCACGCCACTCCACGCACACAGCAGCAGAGCAGCAGAGGAGCAGAGCAGAGCAGAGCAGCAAGCAGACGAGGCAGAGGAAGCAGCAGGCAGCAAGCAGAGCAAGCAGCGCTGAAACGCCACAGCATTTAGGATAAAAATAGAATGTAGAATATTTTTATATGTGGAACATGCGCAGCTCATTGATAAAAATCCCCGACACTGCTGCGCACTCTCTCAGTACACACGGCCGAGATGAAAGCGAGCCGAAAAACGAGAGAAAGGGCCTTCCTTGAGAGCATGAAATCCTGCAGGATATACGAGTATGTACATGCCGCGGCTGTGGTGTGGCCTTTTATGCTGCTGTCCTTATATTCTGCCATTCAGTTTCGAAGAGTCGCACAACCAGAACAGTTGATACAATCTATCGCCATCGCCACGCTGTCCTTCGCTGTCTTTGAGTCTGGATTCTATTTGTGGACGTGTGTGTGTACGTGTCACACAGTTTTGTGTGTATAACTAACGGTTAGTTATCAATTTTACCGTTGTTTGCGTGCCCGGGGCCAGTGCAATCCGATGCCAGTGCACAAGAAGCTGCCTTTCTGCCCAGTATATTCCGCATAATTGTTGATCAAATAACGCTTTTGAAATATGTACACTAATGCGCAATCAATAACGTACATACTCGCATGTACATACATATATATATATATATATATGTACATATATTTTTTTTAAAACTAAATTTGCCCTGTTTCCGTGCGACTCTGCTGTGTATCTGTAGCAAAACGGGCAGGGCGTCGGGAGTCGCGGGAGTCGGGAGTCGGGAGTAGGGAAACTGCGTCGTTTTTTTCATCTTTTTTTTGCAGTTTTACGATTTTACACTTTGACACTGGGAATAAAGTTTTCTTTTACTCTGGCCAAACAAAATGTTTCAACTTTTACAAATAAAAAAGGATCACTTTGGCCTTTGCTTGTGCCAATACCCAATACAAGCGCAAATTTATGTATCTACCATCTACATATGTGAGTTTTTTTTTCCCTTCCGCAGGAGGAAGCAGTGGACTTAACAGTCACACCATGAAATATAATTATAACGCGCTCTTGCTGGCAACATTTGCAACATGGTCGGCAGTGTTCTGTAGCACAGTTTTGGGAACCACAGAGGGCCAGGAAACGCCACTGGCCCTTCCCGTGGCCGAGCATACGACTTCTCCTTCCGTGCAAGGAGAAGTGTGGGAGGAAGACGACCACGAAGTGCTAATAAGGAACGAGCGTGGCACAAAGAGTGATGGTAAGTCTTTGGCTCTGGCTTTCTTGTCTACGAACTTGACACGGGATGACAACAAATCGGTAACTTACTTCTATTTAAGGCCTTTCATGCCGTTATGGTAAGAATCCCTGGACTGAATGTGATACAAAAACCAACACGCGCTCCAGAACCTTGACATTGAAAAAGGGAGATCCGGCATGCGATCAGACTCGCACCATTCAAAAGAAGTGTAAAAAAGGTAAGTTTCTCCCATTGAGGACGCAGGTTTCCATGTTGTTCAAATGCCCGAATGCCTCGGTTCGTTTATCATTACGACAGCATGTCGCTATGAGAAAGGATCTTGGTCTGAATGCGCCACTGGACAAATGACTCGAGCCGATAAGTTGAAGGCGAGCAGTGATCCCTCTTGCGAAGCAACGCGTGTTATCAAGAAGAACTGCAAGCCCGGCAAGTCCAAGGACAAGAGTGCCAAGGAGCAGCGTAAAAACAAGGACAAAGGTCAGTTTTCGGCATCATTATTGGCCATCGCACTGCTTTGAGTCGTGAGTCTATTTTGTAAATGAGTATACGATTTCTGTTCTTTTTCTAATTTCACATGCAGCCGCTCGCAAAGGACGCGTTTAAGTGATTTCATACATGATAATTTTAAAGCCCAATGCCCAATGCCCAATGCCGAATGTTGGTTTGTATCGGATGTTGGATGTCAGAGATGCTTTAAGTTGAAATTATTTTTTAAATATATGTATAACAAGTAAACGGTCAGGTCAGGATTAACTGTCTGCTATGCCATGTATACCCGTAAGCATTTTAATTGAATGCACATATTTGATTAAATGTTGTAGTTTGGTTTCCAGCGAACAAATACACTTCAACTAACTTAAACTGGCAGCAATTTCAATTTTAAACAACATTAAACATAGCAAACATTTTGCGGGACTTAGCATACATATGTTACTCGTATTTATGCAACGCAGAATATAGGAATATTCATTCAATACCCATACATACAATACATACAAACAAACATACATACATACCTACTCATTTAGTTTATTCGAAAAGCGAAATACATATACATACAACTTACATACATACATATACAATTTTCTAAAATTATTAAAACTGAAAGGGCAATTGCCAAAACGGAAGAAATCGGAATAAATCGGAAGGAACCAGACGAAGAAATACTCGTATGTAGATGCAAGCCCCTTAAATTGTCTAACAGTTTAAATCGGACACCTTTCAACAAAATTACCAGAGTTGTTCTTCGATTGAATTTCACATAATAATACTAACCGTAAATACAAACAAAGGCAAACAATTAATCATATAATTGATGTAAAATGTTGGCAAAATATATCAGCTTCTGTATCTGATCTCAACAACAAAACAACAAAACCACAAAACACCCAGTCAAAACAAATAAAAAAAAAATAACAAAGAAAATGAAAATGAAAACGAAACAAATTGGAGACCGTATATAAACTTCGTCATCCATTCGCTGATATTAATTACATACATACATACAAGAATAACAAACACTTAGTGTAAATATTGTAAAAAAAATAATCAAAGAACTTACTAACTACGAGTATATTGTATGTACGAAACAGAATATCCGGGAAAATCCAGGAGAATCCAGTAAAATGCAGAAGAAGGACATCAAATGAGTATTTGAGTATGAGTATTTGTATGTGTCGTTTTGCTGCACTGTAGGTGTTGGTATTTTAAAGTAGTTTAAATCTAATTTTCATTGGGTAAAATCTAAAGTTATATGCCTACATACTATATGGATGTATGTGCGTATCCAAATTGAATATGGTATGCAATTAAAATACATATGCGAATAATTCAACAGTATAGTTGTACCATTTTACGGAGATGGTTTATCTTTTTATCAAACAGATAACATATACACACTCGTACATACATTTTGAACGTTATCGACGACTCAATGTATTTGCCAGTAAGCATACCCATACCCAATACCCATACCATACCCATACCCAATACCCAATACCCAATACCCATACACCCATACCGTATACACATTACTACACAAACAAAAATATGAAGAAGAAGAAAAACAGCTCACATTAGGGGCATTAAACTGTATTAAACTGAAACTAAACCTTTTATTAATTCATGACGAAGAACAACCAAGTAAAACCCCAAAATTAAGTGGAATTCGTTTACGTACGTATACATGCAGACGCATACAATATAAGAAAACAAAAACAAAAGTAACTGAACTTTAATAAATACAAATATTACGAAATAAAGAAATTTCAATAAAATCTGAACGAATTCTTTTCCCTGGCGGCCTGGAGGATAATCGTAAAACAAGGATGCAGCATAGACTCATTAAAGAACATGATGATCCCAATCCGAATCGAACAGCTATAGCTGTTTACACACAGAGTACACCCGCACCC